ATGTTTATACTTTTTTTTAAATTTTTTTAATGTTTTTTATTTATTTCTAGGAGAGAGAGAGAGAGCGAGCGTGAGCAGGGGAGGGTCAGAGAGAGAGGGAGTCACAGGCTGAAACAGGCTCCAGGCTCCGAGCTGTCAGTCAGCACAGGGCCCGACGCGGGGCTCGAACCCACGAACCGCGAGATCATGACCTAAGCGAAAGTTGGACGCTTAACCGACTAAGCCACCCAGGCGCCCCTAATGTTTATATTTTGAGACAAACAGCATTAACGGGGGAGGGGCAGAGAGACAGGGAGACACAGAATCTGAAACAGGCTCCAGGCTCCAAGCTGTCAGCACAGAGCCCAACGCAAGGCTCGAACTCACGCACCTCATGAGATCGTGATCAGAACCAAATGTGGACGCTTAACTGACTGAGCCACCCAGGCGTCTCTCCCTCTAAAATTAATTTTTTTTTAATCTTAAACTGTTATTAAGGAGGAAAAAGGTGCGACATAGTTTGGAAGTAGCTAGCTGCCTGAAGCAAAGTCAAGGAACTGCCTATGTCCCCACATCGGACCCCCACCATCATTTCATGTCCTACCGAAGAGGAAAATATGCTGCCAATCAAACGGACATAAGCATAAGCGCTCCCATTTCCGAAACATTAAAGATGGGCAACAGTGTGGGTCATGGACTCAGTGAGGTAGGGCCTGCCGTGCACACCAGGAGACATTCACTAGAACACACTAGCAGCATGTGTAACAGCCCCAACCCAGAAATGATGCAGTAGCCACCAGAAGAGTACGGGGAACAAATGGTGGCTCACGCGGTGAATGCCACACAGCAGCGCAGAGGAGAGAACCACGGCTACATGAGGCAATGGAGGTGACGCTCGGACGTTACATGGTGCAAAAGAAGCCACACACAAGAGAACACAAGGTGTGATTTCGTTCGCCCAAGTTCAAAACCGAGAAGTCTACGGAATAGAAATATTCTCATGGGTGATGCAACCATAATAACAGGCAAGGAGAGATGATCATGACGATAAGATACTGGTTTCTTCCACCTGGAGGAAGGAGGGGGTGTGACTGGGTGGGCTCTGGGGAGGCTGTCAATATCGTTCCTCTTGGCCCGGATGGTTCGTTTTTGAAACCTCTGTACTGAACTAGAACACACACGCCTACGGAAGTCCACGGAAGTCGATGATTTTCACAAAGCAACACACGCCTGCAGACCAGCACCCAGACCAAGAAAGAAAACGCTTCTGGCATCCCAGGAGCCATGCCCACCCCCACCGCCGACTCCCTGTGTGGTGACGTCCCTCCGTTTCTCTCCTGAGGGCAACGACCACCTAACGGTATAGATTGGTCTGGCCTGTGCTTTACATAAAAAGAATCATGCAGGATGAATTCCTGATGTTTGAGGTCCTTTTCTAGATGTACAAATCTCGAAAAACTGCAAAGCTGCCAAGCGAGCCCTGTGCTTTGGGATTCCCAAAACACAGGGCTTAAAGAGAATCCAGGGACACAGCTCACGGGGAAGATAACAGCTAACACTGTCAAGAAGCATGCCCAGGATCTGACATCCAATAAGCTCTCTGCTCCTTACAACAACCCAGGACGTGAGGAACTGGTAGTTTCTCCGTTTTACAGGTGAGAAAACCCAGGAGCTGCTGGACTTCATGACACAAGTTCATTAAGGCTGGACCGTGCGGTCCAGAGGCCAACACGCAGATTGGACAGGCCCGAGGCAGGCCCCGGCCCCGCCTCCACGCTCCTCCGGGCACAGCTGTTCCTGCCAGTGACCTGGCCCTCCCTCCCCCACCCCGTCTCCCCTCACCAAGGTCATACCTCAAAAAGGGCAGCGGGGAGAGGGAGCCCAGAGGGCAGGCCACAAACTCACCCATAGTCACTGAGACCATTGTCTCCCTGGTCCTGGTGCTGCTCCTGGGAGCCTGGAAGAGAGAGCGAGGGGACAGGGCCCATGAGTCGCCGCAGGCTGTGAGTGAGCGTCCCTCCCTCGCGGCCCGCAGGTCTGCCTGCCAGAGGAGCGTTCCTGGGCTGGGGGCTCACCGCCCAGGAATAGCCTGTAACAACAGCTGGCAGGAAGTCAGCCTGGGACAGAGCTGCCGCCACAGCGATCACTGCTGCCTGGGCAGCTCCATTCCCACACGCCTCACAAGTCTCTGGCTGGGATGAGAGAGTGACGGGGAGGGGGAAAAAAAGACACCCCCCTGCTCAAGACTTTAACCATAAATACCCACTAGTCAGCCATTCCCAAGCCGCCTACTGACAACCTACTGGGCGCGTGGCACTGTTGTAGGAAGTAAGGATACAGAGGGGAACAAAGCCGTAGAGCGTGGCATCTAGGTGGACGGGGGAGAGGGGAAGACAGAGAAGTAAACGAGCAAACGGATGGGGGTACAGTGAGTCAGAAAGCCTTCGGAGTCCTGGAGAAAACCTGGAGGACCGGGCAGGGAGGGGCTGCAGTCCTAAACATGGCGAACAGGGGAGTCGGCTCTACGGTGACGTTCAGAGACCCGAAGGCGGTGGAGGAGCGAGCCAGGCGGTTTTATGGAGGGAGAGTGTTCCGGAAGAAGGTACGGCAAGTCCAGTGCCCTGAGGCAGGAGCCCATCAGGCCTGTGAGAGGGACAGCAGGGAGCCGGTGTGACCACTGCAGTGAGTAAGGGCTGCGGGGGGTGGGGGTGGGGGAGCGCAGGACGGGGACAGCGGGAGGAGCTGAGGGCAGCCACGTGGGGCACCGCCTCAGCAGGGGCCTCAGAGGAGAGATGGGAAACCAGTGTCCACTTAGGTAGGATCGGCAGGTGCCCAGAAGCTGTTAAAGACACCTCAGTGCTCACGGAGGAGACCTTCCCCTGAACAGAGAGCGGTGCCGAAAGGAAACTGAAGGGACAACTTCCTGCCTGATGGTTCCGCGCCATCGGTCCCCAGGAACACGCGTCCCCACGCTGCCAGGGCCCAGACTTCCCTCCTGCCCTCTCCTCCAGCCCCTCTGCCCTCTTCTCCCCACCTCAGCCCCTCCCCATTCTGATCCTTCTCCCTCCCCCCTCTTCCACCTCCTCCTCTCTCTGCCCCCCCACCCCCATTCTGATGGTACAGGAGAGGCAGCAGAAGAGTAAGGGCCCTGGGACCAGACTGCAGGGTTCGAATCCGGCTCAACCACTTGCTAGCGGTGTGGCCTTAGCAGTCTAGAAGAGTGGCTGTTCTCATCTCCCACGGATCCTGCCTTCACCTTTCCTTGAACACCCAAGGGCTTTGCCTGCCCCCTCTCCCCACCCCGGTTTTCCCACAGCAGGTCACCGGTGCCCAGACTGCTTTCTTATCCTGTCCCCCCGACAAGCTCTCCCACACTCTGCCTGCCGCCCGCTCTGTGAAACCCTCCCGAAGCTGCCAGATGAGAGACTCTCTCCTCTACCCTGGCTAGGATTCATCCTGACCCCCTCTGGCTTCCGTTGCCTGTCTTGCTGATGAACGTGACCACAGACATCACTCTGTCCCATACTTGACTCCTAAGATCTACCTTCCTTTCCGGATTTTGCCACGGGGCACAGATAGCACACAGCCAGCATCTGTCAGGGAGCAGGGCCTGGAGGGGTTTCGGTACATCAGTCAGGAAAACAACACCTCCCGGACAGAGCACGGACTCTGCGCCACGACCAGGGCCAGGCTTCACACCAACACCTCACAACCGTCTCACAAGCAAGGACTATTATTAGCCCCGTTTTAATCGATGAAAAAACCCCGACTCATCGAGGTCCGGTCATTTACCAAACACCACATCTAGCAAGTGACTTTACTGGGATTTGAAAACAAGTTCTCCCAGATTCCGGTACCCACTCAGTAGCTCTTGCTGAATGTTTATGCGCCAGGCACCGAGTATACACGGCTCAGTGTCTCCCCACAACCACATGGGGAACAAAGTTAAAATGATCCCCGTGTTTGTTTGTTTTAATGTTTTTTATTTCTGAGAGAGACAGCGCGCAAGCAGGGGAGGGACAGAGAGAGAGGGAGAGAGGATCCCAAGCAGGCTCCACCCTGTCAGCACAGAGCCCGATGCGGGCCTCAAACCCATGACCCATGAGATCATGACCTGAGCTGAAATCCGGAGCCAGACGCTTAGCCGACTAAGCCACCCAGGCGCTCCTAAAACGATCTCCATGTTACCAATGAGAGTGGCAGGTCCGGGATCACACAGCAAGTAATGATAGGCCAGGACTTGCACCCAGTCAGTCCAGTGACAACAATTTAACGCTGGTTGAGTGATTACTACTGAGGCACGGCGCTCAGTCTTGGTGAGATTTCAGTTCGTGCTTACCAGAAGCCTCTGAGTACCAGGATGCTCTCCAGACAGCTGTAGAAGTCACCTGCTGGACTCAAGTGCCTCTCTCCTTCCTTATAAGCCCATCTCCAGCGCTGACTTTCTGAACAGTGAAAATTGGAACGTTAATAACAATAACAGAAAATGACAATTCCCCAAACTCAAGAAATTACCATCTATTGGACTCCCTTGCTAAGCCCTTCTTTAAATTCTTTTTTAATGTTTTATTTATTTCTGAGAGAGAGATAGTGTGAACAGAGCAGGGTCAGAGAGAGAGGGAGACAGAGTCTGAAGCAGGCTCCAGGCTCTGAGCTAGCTGCCAGCATAGAGCCCCATGCAGGGCTCGAACCCACAAACCGTGAGATCATGACCTGAGCCGAAGTTGGACACTTAACCACTGAGCCACCCAGGTGGTCCCAACTAAGCCCTTCTTTAAAAGGCTTGGACCTAAATCCTTTTAACTACTTCTGAACCCTAACCCTGGAGCAAGTGGCTGAACCTTTCTGGTCTCACTTCCCTCAACTCTAAAACAAGAATGGTAGGAGTATCTATTCTTACAGTGGTTAGAGGGATGAAGTGAGTTCATAAACACCAAGGTCTTACAAGATGCTTGGCAAGAGAAAAGTACTATGTACATATGCATTAAATAAACCTTCGGTGAGCTAGAGATAGGGCGGGACAATCACTGACTACTGTCCGTCACATGCCAAACACGAGCAAAGAACAGTATAACTTGGCAGGGTCCGTGGAACCGCAAGGCATTTTTCAATTCTCTTTCAGCTTCTGTCTACAACTTAATAGACTATTGTGCTTCTGTTGCATTTCAGGTTAGGTTTTCCTTCTTTTCACAGCCAACAATGCTGGTTTTCCATTAGTACAGCAGTACAAAATGTCCTTCTCAAACTAATTGGAGGAAAATGCATCCATGGTTTTAAAAAAAAAAAAAAAAAAAAAAAAAGCTCTATCTAGGAGATCTGGCAAAATTGGTCAAATAGGAAGTGGCAGGATGTCGATTTGCCCCATTCCAGATTCCAAGCTTTTTCCTACTGCTGTCTTCTGAGCTTCCTCCAACCCTTTACTCCCTTGAAAGTCCCAGCTACAACCAGTAACTCTCAGAATCATTATTATCATAGACCCAATACATTGAGTTCTTACTCAATATGGTACAAAGCCCTGTGCATCCTCACGACGGCTCTATGATACCGGTACCATTAGCCCTTAGTCTACAGATGAGGAAAATGAGGTTCGGAGAGATTAAGGCACAGGCTCACTGCCACAAAGCTGAGCTGGGACTTGAACCGAAGTCGGCCGGCCTCCAATTTCACGCCCCCACACCCAGATCTTCCATGCCAAGCGCAAACATTTTCATCAGTACGGTACTAACAATAACAGTATAGTAGGAAGTGTGCAGTGTGCCAGGCGCTGAACTAGGGTCTCCAACATGCACGAGCTCAGCTCTCACTCCAACGCAGAGGGAGGATGCTATGCCAGATCCTGGCCCCCATTCTACAGAGGAGGAAACTGAGGTTCGGAGAAAGAAGTCGCTCGTCCCGGCCGCACAGCGACGCCGAGAATGACTCCAGCACCAGGACGCCATCCATCCCCTCCGCATTCGGCCCAGTCCCACCGCCCGTGGCCCGCGCCTCACCTGACCCTCCGCGCCCGCGCCCACTCGCGCAGCCCACCCTCCCACCCCGGCGGCGCCAACTGTCGGACCCTCCTCCTTCGGCCCGGCTGCCCGCCCCGGAAGCACCGCCCCCGCCGCCGGAAGTCGGACCGACCGTCCGCGGCCGCTCTAGCCAGCTGGGCCGCCACCAGCGAGAGGGCGGCAGCAGCCGTCACGTGACCTCCCACGGTCTCCCAGGAGCTTCCCTCCGCCCCGCGCTAGCGAGGAGCGCAGCCAATGAGAAAGGCCCATGCCTAGCCCCCGCCGGTCCGCAGTCTCGCCGGAGTGCGCCTGTGCGCGGCGGGGGTGGCCGGGCGGGGCTCCAGCCGGCAAGGTGCGTGCGGGGCTGGGTCCCGGAGTGGGAGACGTGGAGTGCAGGTACTGTGCGATCTGGGGGCGCGGCGCCTCTGTTACCCTTTTCATGTTGTCCTTCCCGCCGTAATGCATTTCTTCCCTTTTGTCCTCCAGTGCCCGTTTGTGTAGTCATTCCTCCCCTTCTGTCGCACCCCGGTTAGATCGTCACCACCCCGCTTCTGTCGGCGTCACCCTCCTTATGTCGCTCTCAACCCCCTTCGCTTAATTCTAAGCCCCCATTGCCCCCCAGGTTGCAGTCTTCCCTTTTAAGTCGCCATCGCCTTCTGTCACCTGCTCTTCTCTCTTGTTGCTGTTTTTCTTTGACCAAGTCCTCACTTAAGTCGTCATCATAGCCTTGTGTCACCTTCACACGCCTTCTGTCACCATCTCCGTAAATTGCAGTCACCCTTCCCTCATGTCAGTTTCACGCCATGCCTCCAATGCACCTTTGCTCCTAACAGTCACCGTCCATGCCTCTGCCTTCCAGTTGTTTTCTCGCCTCCATGTCGCCGTCATTTCCCCGTGTCACCTCATACTCACCACCGTCTGGGCTACTAGAGCCCGGTTCCTGGCGTGTGCCAGAATCCCAGCTCCACCGCTAAACCTCTGGGTAACCTTGACTACGTGATCACACCCTTGCAATCTCAGCTTCCTCACCTGTAAACCACACACCAGGACCCCTACGTCAAGGACGATTGTGAGGATTCTCCAAGTTTATTCTTGTGATATACTCAGCCTGATGTGGAGATTGAGGCTAATAATGTTATTAACCATGTCACCCTCACCCTCATGCAGTCCCCTTCATCACCTCTTCATTGCCACCCCTCAGGTGCCCTCATCATTCCCATGGTATTGGTACACTCACTCCCTGTGTCATGATACCCTCTGCCATGGCAACCACCCCACGCCACCGCACGTCACAGTCTCCATGATCTCCTCTCTGCCACGTCACCGCACCTGAGGGGGTGGCCCATCGGCCATCACAAACCCTGCTTGGGTAAATACTTAATCCCTATCTCTACCTTGCCGGATTGAGTGATTCCCCCACCCCCAAAATGAGAGCATTGAGCCGACCCTGTAGTGGGAATCCAGGAGTAGTGAGGGAGATGGGGGGAGACTAGCTAGCTTAGAGCCAGATTCCCTTGACTTTTAGAATCGAGGGTGCAGAGAGATGAGGCAGGTCCCGGCACACCTCGGT